GTATTTACAAACTAATAATTTTTTAAAATTATATTTCACAAATACAATATAATTAAATAATGTTTAATAAAAATATTTGTTCTCTTTTTTTTAAAGCATAGTAAAATGATATTAAATAATAATTATATTCATCTTACAATTAAAAATATATGTAAAACATATAGTCGCACTTTGCTAATATTATATAGTAGAATGTTTGAATTATGAATTTTGCTTATCTTGTAAATCGAATTTTCTATCAAACCTCTTAAAAATATGTATAAAATATATAGCACATTGCTACATATTAATACGACAGAATGTGTAAATTTTGAACTTTGCTTATCTTGTAAATCGGATTTACTCGCCAAATCTCACTAGACATTACAAACAGTCGAAATCCAAATATACTTCCTTATTTACTAAAACTTTAGTAGCAGCTATCGACGCTGCGTACTCTTTAGCGGATTAGTTAAATAGAGCAATCGTGACTGGATTTGGTGGTTTAATAACAGTATTCGAATTCTAAGCTGTAGTTGTTCGGTCGATCAAGCTTAAAGCCTAATCTGTTACAACCTCAAAATTGTCTCAGACGAATCGTTTGTGGTGCAAACTCAGGTTAGGTTAGAGAATTGTATATTGCTTTGATACGTTAATTGCATGTTTACATAATCGTCTACCGGTTAGTTTCACTTCTGTGAAGACTTATACATTTTCATAGAAATTTCGATGTACGAGAGGGTGCGTAATAGAAGAATGATCATTTAACATCAATATAGCCTTTGTCTTATTTTAAATATACGAATGTGTATCTTTTGTACTAGCCACTGACTTCGTTTATACGTATAAAAGATAATATATATTGCCACGCAAATATTTACATCAGATCATGGAAATGCTTTGTTCATGGATGTGAAGGATTCTGAAAGGGGCACTACGAGCACTTTGTCCAAGGACGGGTCTCGTTCACCTGAAACGCGGCCAAACTCGTCACCTGTGACCCAGATGATAGCAACGACAAGTCTCTATTTCTGTTCTCTCACACATCTACTTTATATGCAAATCGCACATGGAAAAAACATATTTCAGGTACACTATAACAAGAACGAAATGGCCAAGAAACATGATAAACTCGCACGTAAATTGCCCTTTATGATGTATATATTCTTACAAGTACACGAGAAGAAGAACCTACTGTATATATAAAAAATACATTTTACATTAAAAAGAAAGTAATAATTATTAATGTATTTTGTTTAGCATATTGGTGCGATATTTAAGTAAATATTATCAAAAATAATAATAGTAACCAACCGTTTGGTAATATTTAGAAAAGTAAAATTAACATTTAATAGGCTTTGGTTCTATTAATCTAACATTTAATTGAAATTATTTCACCAAACTTTAGTAGCTATCATCTAGACTTGATTATTATTACCAGACTTTTTTCAATGTAGATTAGCCTAAAATGTACTTTTAACTCTTTCAGATCTAGTGATACATGCACGTACCAGTATCTTTAAAAAATGATATCTTTGTAAATATTAAGTCATTTAGTTCAACTAGTACTTGTTTTAAAGAAAATTATCTATTATACATTATTAATGTATAAACGAGTGTAATTTTCAAGCTTTTGAGCTTAAATTTTTATATTTCGACCTCATTTTTATATTCAGTGATCCCTCAAATCTTTAAAACTAATTAAACATTATATGTTCTATTTCTCAAAAGTCAGACCTGAAAGGGTTAAGTCAAATTTTCAGTAGACCATGTGAAAATTATAAATTTTGTAGCTATCATTTGATAATTTACTGTAAGAAGAAGCAAAATACCGTAGATTCGAAGAAAATAAAGCTGCATAAATCATAAATAATGGATTAATCTCTATGATAACACGATTGTATTTTTGTTACTTCACTGCACCATCTGCGGAGAAAGCACAGTTGCATAGTTAATTCAAGAAAAACGGGAATGGTCGTTGGGACTATTTCGGTGGTTTTCATTCGCAGTTTAATCGAACGCCGTTAATTACATTAGCACTATCGGATATTCATTAATTAAGAACAGCCAATGTAGGAACGTTCATTAACTGTTTTTTTTTTGAAATCTATTAGAATTGTAAAAAAATATTGGATAATTTAATTCATAAATATCGTTTATCTTCATTGTTCTTTTCTTTATGAATTGCTGATAACGAATATGTCAAATAGTCTATTATACATATATGTACGTTATCTTTATGTTAAAATTATGTGCTTAAAATGTTTTAACTTGGAAAATATTACATTACTATAATTTCAGAATGCAATAACGCATAATATATGCATAAATGTTTTGTACAATATTCATTAAATATGCATACAACCTTAACGGACATTCGAAACTTGTGAATCTCACGGACGTACGAATTTATTACGAGAAATATCAATACGTGAAAATATTCGAAATGAAACATTTCGGAAAAATGTATGTCAATTCAAAATATTTTGTTATTCGAATATTATAAATAAAACTTAACAGTTACAAATAAAAATTGATATATAACAAGTTTTTCAATCAGTTTGAGTAATGGTGTACTATATTTTATAATATCTCTCTTTAGCAGTTTTATATTTATAGAAATAAAATTCCACGTTAATATCTCGAGGATGCCTCGAAAGGTTTGAATTTCCGCTTGCATGATAACAGTGGAGACTGCAACTTCATCCCACATATTGATATCCGCGCGCGCGCGCACGCGCACGAGCTTACGCAAGCTGGTCCTTGGATTCGAGGATAAAATAATATTGCTCCATGCAAATTGGAGCGCGATCCGCGGCTGTGGCATCATTCGTAGTCCGGAAGCCAATTCATCGGTCTGCAATTCCGGGAGGGTTGTATGCGGTAAACCGCGACTGTGCGGACTGCTTCAATTGCGGTACGTATAAGCTTCGTGTTAAAATATATAATCATTCGTCTTGCACGAAGGCTGAACAAATGGTACGGACGGATGCGGTTGGATCGCATTGGGGTGATAAAATTCATTCGGACCGATTCATCAACTATTCATGCCATTGGCATTGCTCGCTGGCTGTAATATGCGCGGGGTGTCTTTCGGATAAAATATTCCTACCTCCTTCGAAAAATACGAGGGACGAAGAAAGCGTTAAATTGACGAGGGAAGC